GATCACAAGCAGTTCTTGGTGGCACGCTTCAGACTACTGCCACTGATGTCTGATGCCTCACTGAAACCCAATTACAGGACCCTAGGACGATGCTACGACTGATTTCACCGTCTGCGAGTTCCTCTGGCATTTTCACATTGCCCTTATCTGAAGACCTAACTGCCGAAGCCGCTGGTTTTGCCGGCGTTGTGATTGCTTTGAGCACACGTGCTGAGGCCGCGTTACTTGACTAGATCCCTGTCAACAGTCGACTCGGCGTGATCCGATCTGAAACTTCAGTGCGACTTCCCAGTCGCGAGACTAACAGACGTTGCTTGTAGCAGCGTACGCTCCCACAGACTGCAGGCCGGAGTCAATTAAAGACGAGTTCTACTGTCAACTGTCCGACCTCCAAAAAAACGCCGTATAGACATCGTGGTGCTTGCAGGGAACTTAAACGTACAGGTCGGTAGACTTGAGATGGAAGCGTGTGAACTCGGTGGTCAACATGGACATGGTATTCGCAGAACAAACAATAGCGATCATCTACTTCAGCTCTGCGTTGATCACGGGCTCTTCCTGTCGAGTACTAGCTTTCGGCGATCCTGGCGCTAACGCACGGCCTGGCCAACCATGGACGCATGTTGACAACCTTGCCATCAGTTATCGCTGGCGGGGCTATATACAAGATTGCAAATCAATCTGGAGTACCTACCTCACTTCGGGTCACGTTTTGGTGGCTCCCAACGGCGTCGCCAGAAACTGATTGACGTAGCGAGATTATTTGCCCCAAGCGTTCTCAGTGCATTTCAAGTCGCATCGGCCTTAAATTTCAAGCGCACCTCACACTCTGACGTTGTAACCTACTGGACACATCCGCAACGCTATACACAACTCTGCGACCCTGGCCTGAGGTTTCACCAGTACTGCTGTCAGCCACTGGATCTCTGCACGATCCGTCCAATTTCGCAAAGCTCCTCGGGCGACTGCAGCTGGCGTTATCATTCACCACGCATGACTACTAACGCTGAACTCAAACATTTCATCCGGGAGAATCGCGAGGTCTGGTGGACGCATTTAGTCATTGATACGGAGTGGGTGTCCAACTCGCGGAATTTCCGAAAGCTCTTTCACTTGATCCCATCCATTAGCGGCAAAAGACCGACTGTAAGCGAATTTTTGTGCCAAACCTATGGTGGGTGAATCCCCTGCCAACGGCGTCGACGTGCCTTAGGCTGAGCACTTCCATCAGCAGTCCAACTGGCTTGCGTCACCGATGATCTCCTACTCGGAAATCCGTACTGCTCCTTGGTGTGTAAATGCTTTACCACCATTTGAGGCTGAAGTTTTCCATAACTTCTGCCTCGCAAAGCGCTACAAAGCCTCTGGCCCAGACGAACTCCCACCGGCTCTTTTCAAAGATGAAGGCTCTTGATTTATTCGAAGTTAACTTCCTTCAAGAGGTTTGGACCACCGAAACAATCCCGTCTGATTGGAGTCTAGTGGATATCGTGCCCATCTTCAACAAGGCTTCCCGGACAGACTGCGCTAACTACAGAGCGATTAGTCTCATCTGCGTTGCGTCTAAAGTGTCCACTGCCCTGCATTTAAGAAGGCTCAGCCTGGTACGCGAACAGAACATACGCGAAGAGCAAGATGCGTTCCGCTCTAGTCGGCGTTGTAACGATCACATCTTTACTCTCCGCCAAATACTCGAGCGTCCTCAAACGTTCGGCTGATCAACGATCGTTGTCTTCTTAGATCTACGAACCGCGTTTGATTCAGTTGACCGAACTGCTCTCTGGAGTTGTCTTTTGAGAAGAGAAGTGTTTGCGAAGTACGTCAACATTCTTCGAGCCATCTATTCTTCAACCTCTGGCCGGGTGCGAGTGTACGACGAACTTTCACCCCTTTTAGTATCACCAGTGGCGTGAGACGGAGCTGCCCAACATCACCCTTCCTGTTCATTTTCGCTATAGACCGCTCTGGAGAACTACCTACGCAGCAGCGCTTAGTTGCTTCCGGCACATCAACGATATGGCCGTAATTTGCGATTCCTCCCATGCTCAAAATATGCTGTGTAGATTGGCGGTGACTGTCTCCAAATTGGGATGATCTTCGTCCCTTCCAAGTGTACGGGACTGACTAGGAGCTGATCTCATCCTTACCCTTTCAGCTCATTTTCTGGTAGTGGTAGATAAGTTCGTTTCCTCGGAAGCTGCACCAGTTCCAGCGTTCTAACGCATGAGGTCTCTGCGCGTCTCTAAGCTCCGGGTTGTGTTTACTAGTCTCCTCCATCTCTGACGTCGAGGCGACCTGTCTCACCTTGAAGGACCGAGTCTACACTGCCACGATGGGAACTGTCCTGCTCTCTGGCTGCAAGACTGTCTGTTCATACAAAAGATGTTCAGAGACTGTCTGTATACGATCACTGCTGCCCTTGATGCATAGCTGGTGTAATGGGGATTTTGGTCGAAGGATTTTCAGATCAAGCAGACTTTGCCGGCCGCTGAACCGCATAATTTCAGTGCATAGGCAGGCTTCAGTTGCTTGGGCACTTACTTCGCATGCCTGATGAAGGTTTGTTTTACCGTGCGCTCTGTGCGCACAGACGTCGGTTGGAGCGAAGACAGGGTGGCCAGCGAATGACTTGGACCAAAAGTTTGCAGGCGCTGATCTCACATTTGGCCACAGTCGGACGCTATCGACTCCCTAGTTTGGAGTGCAAAGATCACGAGCACACATAGCTGTAAACCCTGTGGGATATGTCAGGGAACCGTGCTCAATGGCAAACATGCTGTGATACTCTACTCCAATAACTGGAATTTTACACTTCTTTTTTTTACCCTCTTGTAACTGATTTGCACAGCCTGGGTCGCGTTAGCCTAGACGAGAGTTACGTGCAACGCGGGCACGGTCCCTACTCACGCAACTATTCGGATGACACGCTGAGTTCTCGTAAACAGACAAGGATACGCACATGATCGGGGGACTAGACGCGAGAGACTTTGACACGCACGCAGCAGCCGGCTAAACGACGCACCCGATCACATGACCACGCGTTTCCCTATCACTCACAAGAGAAGACGAAGCGGACCTCTGAGAGTTCTTTTACGACTCACAAAGGCCGAACCACAGTGGTAACAATGCCTCCTTTTGTTGGTGAAACAAATCACCACGTAGGGCTGATGGTTTCTAAAAGAACATTGTCCACTTTAGCCCAGTTGCGCTCCGACTCCGAGTGGTTGGATCCTGCTACGTTGTGGGCAAGAATCGAACTCTGCGTCTCGCAGCCTACGCGTTGGAGTTTCTGGCTCTTTTTCTCGGGCTCATTTGACCTGCCCGCAACACCTCTCAATTCCTTCATTATTGTTGTATTATATTTATCATACTTTGGGGCATTCTGCCAATGGTACTGTTGGTCAAGTGCTATATATATATATATATGTATATATATATATAGTTCTGCACTGCAAAGCCTACAATTCGCCAAAGGCTGCGTATCTCTCTACTTACAAGTGCAGTTACTTACTAGTGAGCGACTTTTTGACTTGCAGTACGCCGATAACATTGCCCTCATCTGTGACAGCGCCCAAACGTGCCAAGCAGCACCGGACAGACGCATTGGCTGTTTATCGTTTCGGGCTATGCTTTGCACTCTCAAAATGCAGTCCTTCTCCAAGGTTGGCAGGGACCCGCTACTGTGCTGATCTTTGGTGGTGATTAGCTAGAAGTTGTTCAGATATTTAGGTATCTCGACATCTGTATTAGTGTCTGTAGGATCGAAGCTGAGGTCACGAACTGTATAGCAAATGCACGAGGAGCTTTTGTCAATCTCCGTCACCCGTGGCGCTGGCGCGCCATCACTCTCGTCCTGAAGAGCAGAGTTTACAATGCAGCCGTCTGTTCAACCCTCTTATACGTTTGTGAAACCTGGCCCATCAGATCGATAGGCATAAAGCAGCTAGTCACGTTCGATCATCGCTGCCTTCGCAGTTTAGCTCCTCTTTAGAACACTGCGTGAGCTATGCACGTGTTCGGTGTCGTGTATTTGCTGCAGGAAGAGGGACTGAACCACTCTACACTATTAGATCACGCACAAGGCTCCGGTGGCTGGGCCACGTGTTGCGCATGCTAGTACATCGACTTCTGCAACGTGCGTTGTTTGCGCTGCTGGGGGTTTGGTTGACGGGGGGATTGAAAACGATTATTTGGTCATGAGGTATAAATTCCTTCAATTCGAGCTTGGTGTCGGTTGTTGTATCTCGACCAGTGGGCTGGAATTCGAACTATGATGAACACGTCTAGTTGGATACACTTTTTCACATGACGAAGAGCCGACTTCGATGGCGTTTGCGTTGTGTTTCTTTCTCCTTCCACTCCTTGGCTTCCCCCTTCCAACTGTGATCTCATACTCAATGTATAATATGATAGCATTATATATTTTTTTATCTCGATTGTTTAATAACTATTTTTCGTATTGGGGTACATTAGCAGAGGTGTTTCTCAATGTCGGCCAACGTGTATTGATGATGTTGAGCTACCGACTATTCAAATCTTCGGTCATCGAGACATACCTTTCTACACTGTTAAGCTGCTCAAAACACCTCAACAATAAATTGTGCTCTTCCGAGTATATCTTCCTCGATCAATAACCTCTACTTAGTGTCTAGTACGAGTGAAGCAGCTCTCGTCTCGCCAAATATGCGTGTTACTGCTTGTACTCATGTTCGACGCAATGAATACCTGATAATAATTTCGTGCACCGTATTAATAATACTTTTGTTTTGTTGTTTTATCACCTTACAATATTTTTTGCATCCTTACACAATTTTTTCAAGTTTTCTTTAATGGTAGTTGTCTAAATTTTGTCTGATGAGTTGTCTAATTTTGCAAAGATCAATTGTGAATCTGCGAGATTAGTTACATTTGACTTGAGACTAATCTAGTCGTTGACATTACTCTCGTCCATATGTACGCCGCCCGATTTTATGCATTAGCTTCCGGCAAAAACTGAGATAATGTGATGTATATCCTACATCTTGAAGCCGAAACATTATCAGAACTCATAGATGCAGAATCCTGGTTTATACCGCCACATTAAGTCGTGTCAGATTGTTGTAACGTTGCACCCGCAATCGACCGGTTGATTCACGCCAGCTGATAAATCTGCGCCCTTACGCCTGCTCTGTTTGACGCCCTGACAAACCCGACAGGAAGGAAGATATAAGAAGACTCAACAGATCAGAGTTGTATTAGGACAGAGAACGCTCATATTTATGTCGGTCTCACCAACCCTCCAAACCTCACCAGGCGGATTTTACTGTAAACCCACGCTCCACACATGCTTGTCCGCTCCGTCTGTCCAGTTCACCGTCTTGCTCGGGCACTCCAGTCTTCGTCCGCCTACCCGGGGCATGGCAACGCACGGGATGTCTGACGCGCGATTTCATCACGCGATTTCAGTCACGCCTTGGCAACACGCCTGCTGTCTGATGCGCGATTTCATTAGCTTTTGGCTGGGCCATGGCAACACGCTCGCAGGGTCTTTCCCAAGCACGATTTGTGGCAAACAGCTGCGCGTTGGCAGTCAGCTTTCTCGCCCAGCTGTCACAAATCTTTGTCGGCTTACTATACTCTTCTCCTTGCGGTTTCTTTGACTTCAACCACACCCACCGATACGTCGCTGCGAAAGGAATTTCGCATCATAATGTGCTGCTTCTTTTTATTTCTGCTCAACTTCCATGCACCTCATGCGTTGCTCGTCTGCAGCGCGTCAACTTAAATGCGATGGCTAAGCAGTTGGGGACAACAATAGTTCGAGCTACTTGTTTGTGCATGAACTCTGCGGCCTTTTTAGTCCATTCAGCTGTTAGTATTCAGAAGTGAGGATCGAACCCGGGACCATGACGGGTCCACGTTGACAGAAATCGGACTGGATGGGACTCGAGTCTGATAAGCCATAAGTAAATGCAGGAGGTGATCGAACAATCCGAAACCAATCATGCTCCATTGTTCTCTCAACTTTATTCCTTATTATCTCTACTAACTTCGTAGCCAGGTTTATGTACATCTTCTTGGCATGTATCGTGTCATCCGATTGATCCATCATTTAGGTACGTGACTACAATGTGCGATTTTGTCTTATTTTATGGTGCACACTTCACGCAATCTCCTCGCAAGCGTGTCCCAGGGATATGCTCAACCGGATTGCCGCTTCGAATACAATCCGCTTCATCAAAACCTTATCACAACTGGATTTGGATTTTATACCCGTCGAATCTTCTTTGTACACTCTCAGTTGTCGTGAGACTGGCTTTCTGTACAGCCTCCCTTCACACCTTGTCCAAGACAGACAAAGCCGTTTGGAACAGTTGTCGGAGCAGCTGGCCACCGTATGTGTCACTCTGGATGAATATCCAAAAATATGCTGCCGCAGGTGAGTTACGTGTCAGTTACTTTCGGATAGGCGCACTGATCAGTTCTTTATGTTTCTCCGCTTGTGGCCAACGATTTTCAGTTGTCAGTCATGTATGTATGGTACATGGGGATTTAGTCGATTGAGCGTTGTAACTGCTTCAATCGTTTTATGCGGACTCAACCACCATTCCATTCTTGCATACAATTGTCTTGATTATTTGGGGGTTGTAGGGTCCGGAGTATTCTATGCTTTCCATGTCAGGTATCTGCGACTATTATTGTTTTGTTTTCGCCTATTGCGTAAATTCCTGGGTACCTTCTGCTTCTGTTAGATCATGACGCCCCGCTCTATGACCATTCTCTTCCTTTTCTGCAACTTACTGCGATTTATATTATTTAACCAATATCCATGAATCCACTCTGCCTCATGCTAAGGTTGATGTTGCATACATCTTAACCTGGGCAAAAAGTATTCCACTTTACTTGATTTGCTCACTTCTATCATTCCATTGCATATTGTCAATTTGCGTGCTTGTTTTCCTTCAAATTCTGTGTCTCTTGATATCCCCGGTGTGGCTGCGCCTGATGGGAAGGTTGACAAGGTATCTACCTGTCTAACACCTCCACTTGAATTGCTGGTTCCAGGAGAGCGTGAATCGTTGCTGGGTGACGGGGTGCACGGTCATCGTAGTAATGCTGGGCTCAAAGAATGACTAGTGGCCGCTAGCATTGCACATCTGACTTGCAATCCTTAGGTCACCAGTTCGAATCCGTGTAGAGGCTGGCGTCCTCGCGGTACAATCAGCCCACACGCTACCGGTAGTGGTCGCGTGGCAGCGAATCGTCGGTACAATGTGCCGGCGTACTGCTGATGACCTTTTTATGTTGAAGGAGTGTGGGCCGGCTCCGTTGATTTAACGTGGCTCCCTTCCACATGCCTGCTGGTCTTATTCCTTCGGGTTTATCCTGGATGTGTGGATGGAACTGTGGGTGGTGCAGCGCAAGCCACCCATGGTCTTTCAGTATGCGCAGGCGTCCTGTGGCTGTCCTATGGAGGCCGCATTGACAGGGAAATCCGGAACCAGATGCTGCCAACCATGGTTCCGCTGCCTTAATCATTACGCTCTCCAACCTTGCTAGCGGCGCTTATGACGAGGTCACAAACTTCTCATACTCTTAACAATGGTCACTATCATCAACAAACAGCTAATTTGTGTTCACCACTGTGATATCCACGTCCACTAGATTTGACATCGGTTATTTCCTGTGTCTTCGTTCTATATTAAATTGGACTGTGCTCCGTCACCACACATTACTTCTCGAGTGCGCCTAGTCTCATCATACACTCTTTCAGCCCGTTAGCTACTACCGACACACACAGCACAGGAACTAGTTATGCACTGCACACCGCACCCCCTCGGTTCCTCTCATTTAACAAACATTCCCCTATTTCATTCAGTTAGGGTTTTGTTTGTTCTGTTGATTAGGATAGAAGAGCATCATTGCCCGAGAAGCGATTTGCTCACAATAAACGCTGGGTATTTGGTTTATTCGTTCCACAGGGTTTTTGAACACTCAGCAACTTTGTGCTGACGCACAATGCCAATTGTTGTGACTGTATTTTCGGACGTAAAGAAAAAGTGTGTGTTGTAAGACGAGAGTGCGACTCCTTTCCTTTATTCTTTTGAACATGGAATTATTAATTTTTTTGTCTGTTGGCCACAGTTTGAGTAGGTGATTTATTGAAGTTGGATGTCATTTATGACACAGTGGTTGTAACACTTCTTTACCAATTATTGTGCCCCACACGGTTGTTTGGTGTTCGCCACTAAGTTAATAGCGCAGAGTCTCATATATTCCATGACGAACACGGAACGTGATACATCGCCATTTCTGGCTCTAGCAGATATAACATCCACTGCGGGTGGCGCTGTTATGTGTGCATCCTCTTGTACCCGTTCTCTGAACCGATAAGTTGCGCTCAATGTAGGCATCTGGGCCATAGTGGGTTCACCGTTCTTTCTCCGTAGTTGTTGCTGCTTAGACTACTGATCTCATGGGGAGTCATACGCTCGCGTTGCTTCAGCACACTGCCAATTGGATATCAATTCTCTTGAGTCCGGATCGCTTGGCCAAGGTCTTCTGACTCCGATCTGTCAGGAGCATCACGCTAACGGGATACCACTTGAGCGTCGAACAGCGGCATACAAGTCTAAGGAACTGTGTTTGCAAATGCATTCATAGATTATCACACAACTTGCCTTACTTCTACTGACAGAAGTGGGATTTACCTTGGGGCACGTAACATGTACAAAACACTTCGATTTTGCAACAGGAGCACTGTATCCCTCACGTATAGCCTGTAGCCTTAAGGATCACGTACCTGCCTTGTGATCCAGAGGTCACCGGTTCGGGCCGGCGTAGGGGACCGAGCGACCCTCGCAATATCCTTAGCCCACGCAACGAGGCGCCTGTACGACGTACCGGCTTACTGCTCTTGCCTTTCTTCCATTACCATTATATCGCGAATTTACTGTTCGGTTTGTTGATTTCGAAAATGGCCTTCAGGCTACTTACCTAACTTCAAGTCATGGGTTACTGTATTAAAATAAAATCCTTTATCACGATGAATAATTTATATAGTTGCTTCAGAAATCAGCTACCTTAAGCTTCCTAGCTAAGACAATTTTGATGTGATAAAATTTAGACAATTATATCTGATTAGCTTAACTTGATGTGTATTATACAGGAATACTTTCCATTGGGTGTTTTCTTTTCGATAATAACTTTGCGTTTGTAATCGCTTGGTTTCGTATCAAATGTGCTATGTTGCTTCCCATCTCTTCACTTAATGTCCTTAGGAGCAATACAAACTTGGAATTGGCTCGCTTGACTCAGTCAAAACTGGATGCATGCCGAGAAAGTAACCCAAGCATGGGTCGGGTATGTTATTTGTGTTATTTTCAAATCGTCGCTGCCTTAGAGCATCCTTATTAACCATTTCCAAGAAGTATTTTCGTAAACATCAGAGCGGAAGACACAAGTTTGTTTCCTGCGAATACGTACTCCCGTTGCCTTTTCACCTATGGAATCGTGTTCGCTATACTGTTTCACCTACTGTTCGATGTGATTGCTTTTTCACCGATATGGCCTGTTGCTCCCACGCTACTGAGGCGTTGATGAACCATGCAAGGCACCTATGGCCACTTCGGCATTCATAATCCCGTAAGTGAAAGCGGGCTTTGGCACTAGCATTGCGAAAAGCGCCAACGCTGCGCTTAGATCGGGGATATTACTAGGTCGTTTGAACCCGCTATCTATGGATTACGACGCCGACGCCTTATCCCATTCTGCCACCTGCCGCACTGCTTTAACCTACCTGACTATGTACCAGCGTTTGTCGATGAGGCGGTGCAACTTCGAGTTGCCTCTCCATTTTCAGGCACTCATCTATCGGAACCTAAGGCACCAACCGTTCCCACTCAGTTTTCTTTGTGCGCTATCTACCCACTTCTGGAATGTTTAAATTTGCCGTCGTTTGGGTGGATCGCTTCGGTAAATCTCTGGTTTTAACTTTTGCTGAACGCCTCCTTCTACACCTAGCATTTTGTTAGGAAGGAGTGGAAATTACGACGATAACAGCGTACGACCTAGTGCATCATATTGTCTGGTAGCGAAATCTGTCTACACATCAACCAACTCCACAAGAACACTTTTCTGCTCTAGACTGCTCTTTTATTTTCCACAGGCATCTTGTGGGGTTGAGCTGCATGTAGAACCGCCGCGGGTTACGCCTCACTATCTAAATGGTGTCATGCTTACGCAGATCATCATCGGCACCACTGAATTTCTCTCGGTGTTCTACAGAGCTTATTTTGTCACTTTCTCGAGTAAGCTGCCCACGGACGCGAATTCTCATTTTAGCATTTGTCTTCTGTCTATCGGTTTTATACTTAGGTTATGCAACTGCAATTTGGACACCTCTGCACTCTCTTCACTCTTCATATTTCATGTGAAGGTGAGTCACGTCCCTTGAATACACCGATCCACAGGAATGTGTGTGCATCATATTGGTGAAAAATAGGGCCCACACGAAAATGAATACGAGTGTCTCTACCGGCAATGGTGAGGCATTGACCAAGGGGGAGGCGGATTGAGTTCTCAAGAAAACTCCCCGCTGAATTCACTTCCTTCAATCTGTCCTAGGGGTTCGTTGGCCAGCATAACGATACTTTTGATAAAACATGCAAGAATATCATGAGATGTGTAGTCAGAAGATAGGGATGATAACTGATCCGTCAATATAGTAAATATTGTCGAAGAAATTTTCGGAATGCGCAGAATAGTCATATGAATTGACTCTCAGATGCCACTGTTGGGTTGTCGATGGGAGTAAAGACGCAGGGGGAAAATGGGGTGAAGTTCAACACTGATATTTATAATGTACACAAATTCTCCTAATTTTCTTGAACAGAGCAAGATTCGTTACGCAACGATTGTAGCAGAAGATTGAAAATGTTCTAAAACCTGCCGAAATGAATCTGTATGCGAATCCTCAATTCGAAACGCAGGGATATTCCGCCATAGCAGTGAGATCCGCAAAAAAGCTTCAAGAAGTGTTCCAAGGAATGGCGAGCTGTCAATAGGAAAAGAACATGGTAGTGCATTTAAAAGCAGATCCTCTGTATACAACGCAAGAATATCCCGGCATAAGAAAGACCTAGTCTACAAGAATAATAGGCAAAGGGAGGTAACTCTGGTTGTTCGGAGAACAGATAAGCAAAGTAAATGGTCGAAATCCACTGGATAGTGGCCCAAAAGTATCGTTTTCAAGCTGCGATACTTTTTCATCATACCAGAGAACCGATCTACTAGAGTGATCCACAAGCGAAATGGACAGTGTTCCATAGAATGCTCCTAAGGTGTAATTATGAGGAATAGATCATAGTGACGGTAGGCTAAATCTCCACTTAAAATGCGACAATGGTCCAATGTAGGAAGGAGCCAGTCCATAGGAGAAAGCCTCGGAGAAAGCGGACGAAGTGCTCCGTGGAATATCCCATCGATATCATCTCGTGAAAAAAATGGTGTACCGTATTTGAGTGAAGGCCAGATGCCGGTATATATCTCGTCATCATCATCCTCAATACACGTTAGCTGAGGATGAGAAACACACCTAGCTAATGTGCCGCAATCAATGCAGACAAACACTGAAAATTACAGACTACAAAGATAATTCAAGCAGCAAGTCATGTAGTGTTAAATATCATATTATTCATTTGCTATGAGATCCTAACTGGAGAGGAATATAAAGGAGGGGGGATGAATAAGACATTATCAGCACAAACGCCATTGGGGCCGGCTCTTCGCCATTTCAGCAAGTGTGTCCAACCAAAGGTATTCACTGTCCCTGGAATCCCAGTCCGGCAATCGGGATGCACCAACCGACGCCAACTTCGAAGTGAGGGTTTTCATCTCTCTCGACCAAGTCATCGCTTGGTCTCCACTCCTCCTCTTCGATCCACACCCCGGGCGCGCAAACAATGCACGTCGTGGGAGTCGGTGGGTTGGCACGCGCAACATGCGGCCTGGTGCGTGATATAATGGTGCTGAGTGGTTCACTAGCTCTTTCTGCACCAAATACGCGATACCGAACACTTTCATTGTTCACATGGTGCTTCCAGCAGAAATGAGTTAAGCTGCGTAGGCAGCGATGATCGAGCGTAACCATCCTCTTTATGTCTGTCGACATGATGGGACAGGCTTCACAACCGTGCTGGAGGGTTGAACGGACGGCTGCATTGTAAACATTGCTCTTCAGGGTAGCAATGATGTCGCGTCCGCGGAGATTGACAAAAGCACTCTGAGCTTTTGCTATACCGTTCGTGACTTCATCTTCGATCCCACGGGCGCTACTATAGCTGCCCAGGTACTTGAATTCCTGAACGACTTCTAGCTAGTCACCACCAAGGGGCAGCGCAGGGGTGGGTCCCTGACAATCTTGGAGAAGGACCTTGCATTTCAAGGGAGCAAAGCATAGCCCAACACCATTGACAGTCATTGTTAATCTGTCCACTGCCGAGTGGCACCTTTGGGAGCTGTTACATATGAGGGTAATGCCGTCGGCATACTCCAAGTCAAGAATTCGCTCATCAGGAAGCAGCTCCACACCTTGTAAGTCATGTCCAGCGAACACTGTTTCCATAGCTTCGTCAATGGCGAAGTTGAACAGGAAAGGTGACAGCGGGCAACCTTGCCTCACACCGCTGGAGATATTGAAGGCCGGCGACAGTTTGCCATGAAACCTCATTCTGCCAGAACTATACGCATACAGCGCTCTGGCAATGGTTACGTATTTTCCGAGCACACCTTTCCTGAGTAGAGTGTCCCAAAAGGCACCTCGATCCGCCGAATTGAAAGCACCTTTGATGTCGAGGAGCACGACTACGGTGTGTCGCCAATAAATATGGCGGTGCTCCAACAATTGACGTAAAATAAAATTGTGACCGATGCAACCCCCATTTCAAGGAAACCCGGCATGGTCCTTACGAGTCTGACTTGCACGAGTGGCAGGCAGTCTGTGGAGAACGAAAGACGCAAGCACTTGAGAGCAGACTGATCGCTCTATGATCGTTTCATTCTGAACGGGAGCCACTCTTGGAAATGGGGACTATAACGGAGCGGCTTTACTCTGTTGGGACAGTTTCCTGCTCCATCTGTACCACTAGTAACTCGTGTGAATCACCTACAAGAGTAAGTCCGCCGAATTTGAAGAGGGCTGGGAGAATTCTATCTGCCCATGAAGCCTTAATTCCGTTTCAACAGTCTGATCTCATATTCGATTTCTGTGTGTGAAGGCAGATCCACGGGGATGACCCAGGCAGTAGAGCGATCAATAGCCGGAGGAGGAGCCGACAGCTCTGACTGATTAACTGCTTCTCATAGTGTTCGGCCCAACACTCCAAGCGCTTTGACAAACTGTGGGTCGGCTGTGCATTTTCGTCGCTATGGTCTCGCTAACACCAGGTCTTCTGCTGCCCGTTTCCCGTATCAGATGGGATGACTTACGATAGTTACCAATGACAGTGGCTGTTTCCATTTCCGATGCACAATGAGACAACTAGGCTTCTCGGTCTCTCTTCAGGATAACACGCGGTTTCGCCCTGAGCAATTTTTTTAGTCTCATTGTGTTCGCTTCCAGCCGGAATATGTCGGCAAGCATCCATAACTTCCGGAGACTGCGCAGAGACCCAATGTCCAGATTGGTAATTTGATTTGCTGCATGAAGACATGCCTGATGATAGTAACATCTGGCGAATATGTGGCCTATGATCTTCAATGGTGTTCAGTGGGCGCTTACTCAGTCCGGATGCCTGCGTACTTTAGTACACATTTAGAACACCTGTGTACACCAGCGACGTTGCGCACGTGCACCGCAACGTACCCGTAAGGTGGCATACACAAGCGCGTGATCCGAGTCCACGCTCGTGCTCCAACTCGATCGGCAGTTTGGACACAGCCTCTCCAGCGGTAACTGATTGCGATATGATCGATTTACACCCATGGCTGATCCGAGGCTGGTGGGCGCCAAGTCACCCTTCTACGAGTGCTGTGTCGAAAGTTTGTACTCTCAAGAAAGTGGTGAGCATCTTCACACAAGTGTAGCAACCGCTTACCGTTATCATTACGGGAGCCTACACTCTGTTGGCCACCCAGATGAAGCTCATCAGAGGATAATTTTCCGACTTGGGCGTTCAGATCACCAACATAGACCACAGTATCCTTAGTTTTCCTGTACCGAAGGAGATCGTTTAGTTGGCGATAGAAGTCATCTTTCACAGAACCAGTGCTACATTTTGTGGGGCGTAGGCGGCAATGACAACGAGGCACCGTTTGCCCCCACGCGACTTCGAAGTCTGGAACTAGCCAGCCAGTCTAAGGGG